CAAGTCCTGGATTTTCTCCAAAGTGCCAGACTTATTTTGAAATCATTTTAAAATGCTTATTTCAGAACAGCAACTGAGCGTTGATCTACAATTGTTTACCTTTTGGAGTCAACCCAATTCAAGATGGTTGCCACAGCCAACGGATTCTAAAAGCACAGGAATGGCTTTAACTGAAAAAATATATAGAAATTGACAAACTTTGGTGTTTTAGTAAACTCTGTTAGCGAAATATGTCAAGATATATTTTACCAAAACTTTCAGGAATTACCATAATTACTGAATACACATCTACAGGTGCCAATCTACTTCAAAACGACTGCCCCAGCCACATGACTTCAGAAAACAGAAAAATGCCCACAATACAGTAACTTTTACAAAGACTGTGCAAAGATTTGACATGTTTATGGCTGAATGTTATTTACGACACATACTCCACTTCCTCTTCGTTGTGAGGGATCTTTGCCTAAAACTTTAACTATTGGAGTCAACCCTGTTTGTTWGCAAATTRTCTCAAGAACTACTTAACAGATTCAAAGACGTTTTTGGAAAGTATTCATTGAATAGATATCTACAACAGAATATATTTAAAGGTTAATGTAATTCACAGGTAATGGACATTACTAATGCAAAAAAGGATGAATACTTTGTCAGTTTTAGTGATAATGAGCTAAACTTGGATGTGGTAGAGGCTGGCAGTCTTTTACAACAATTACTATGAGTGGAGCATTGTGCAATACTGGATGAAATTGTGCATAACCTAATTATCAAGGTTTGACCAAAATGGCTACAACTCTGTAATTTCTCAGCATAAGATTTCAGTCCAAATCCCAGGTAATTTTTCAAGGAATGCATGCTGCCTACTGCGTATTTCTTTTAATGCTGGGTTTGTTTTGCTGTCCAGAGTCAGAAGTTAGTGTGTTACGCCACTGTGACTAACAGAGTCGAGTTTTAACCACTCCAAGAAACTCACATTAGTGAGCTGTTGGTGCAGGGAGTTTTATTGTTGGCTTGAGCAATATGTTTTTACTTGTCTTACACTGTTAATCTCACCTTTCAGTCATTTTCTGTWTCGTTTTGCAGACATAAATGAATGCGAAGAAGCTGAAAGGAAACATGAAAATATCTGTGGAGATAATGGGACATGTATGAACATTAATGGGAGTTACTGGTGCATCTGCAAAAATGGATACACCAACTATGGCAATGACAGGACACCATGCTCAAGTAGGTGTATGAAAACAGCTTCACTTATAAAATGTGTATGGGCAACCAATTTGCCAATAAACCAAACCAATAAAATGTTAAAAAATGTCTAATACATTTTCATTATTTAGGTCACTTTCTGAGTGTTGAACATTTTCCACCAACATTTTATTGTTATTTAGCTCACTGTTGTTACATTTTGTTAATTTTTTACAAAATGTTAAATTTAAGAGTCCAACACTAACAGCAAAGGCTGCATTCCATTCTGAAATACTTAAAAACATCAGCACTTAGCTTCAACATTTAACGTTTAACTTTTACATTTAGATTTACAAATTTAGTGAAAGTAAGCTAAGTAATAAAATGTGTTAGTGACATTTATTAACACTTTATTTTACACTCTGCACACATTGCAGTTTTTTGTTTTTTTTATGCACATAAAGTTTGAAAAACCTCTATGCCAAATGGTGTCATCTTGTTTTTTTTTATCTTTTTGCCTCTGTTATGAATATTTTGTTGGTAACTTTTCTGAGCTGACTAATATAATTTCCAGCCTGTGGTGTCTCACATGATAATATTAAGTTTCCATTCACTGCTTTCCTGTGGTTTGTCACTTTTATCTGTTTAAAATGTTGCAATTCAGCAACAACATCAACTGCTCTGTTGATGAGGTAAATATTTGGCTTATTTTATTTATTAATTTTTTATCTAGAGCTCAGCTGTGACAGATTTACAGCCAGCAAGACTTCACCGGTGAGTTTGGATGCAAACTTTGGAGCATTTTTCACTCCCTGCTGAAAAAACTAAATAAAATTAATATAAATTGTATTTCCATTGAAAATATAAAAGTATAGGAAAAATAGTAGCCTATAACTTCTAAGTGTAATTTCCCGTAAGAGCACTGCAGCTAATTCTGTCTGTTCACCAGACCAGCCTGTGACCCTTTAAGGGGTTGTGTTGCTAAAGTTTAGTTAATGGGAAGCTGAATGCTCTCTTTATTCTCTCCATCTGTGTTTCCCAGACACTTGGAGGCCTGGCAGACATATTGTCCCTGATGAGGAACAGCTGTTTGGCTCTATCAGACTCAACTGTTCCTGGAGGGAAGGCTGATGGAGAAGCGCTGCTAGAGGTGAGAAAATTATACAAAAACACAAGCAGATACATTCAGAAACTTCATGCAAACAATGTACAAACTTGTGTTTGTGCATTCATTTATCTGTCTACTAGCAAAATATTTTACTTCTCAGAAATTAATTGTTGTGGAAATTTTTAACAAAGAACAGAAAAATGTGATTCAAAAAAATAAAGGCACTTTGTAGAATGATCGTCTGAGTTTGTTTTTTTTTTTGCAACAAACAGAAATTCACACAGAACTGTCAGGCTGGCTGTTAAAATCTGKACTAACCTCTGCTCCCCTGCTAGAAGGCCTTCTGTAAATACTATTTAACAAACACCATCATGCCATCTTAATAAAGCATGGTTTCATCCTGACCCTTACTGGGTCAAGTGATACCTAAATAGTGATTGCTATTTTATGAAAACAAGTCAAAACAATGAGCTAACAAAACCTGCCATGCCAACTTTAGAATGTTTGAGGAAAGGTTTTATATCACAGTTTTATCTTTACTGGTGTACTTCTTAAAGATCCCATTGACTTGAGGCTTGGAAGGAAGATCTACAGGTCCTTCTCAAAAAATTAGCATATTGTGATAAAGTTCATTATTTTCTGTAATGTACTGATAAAC